GTGATTATAAGGAGAATAATATTAACTATAATTATGCTACTACTCCTACTCCTACTACTACTACTACTACTACTACTACTACTACTAATAATAATAATAATGATAATAAATAATAATAATGTAAAATCAATAAAAACAACAATGATAACAACAATAATAATAGTGATGATCATAATAATAATAATAATAATAATAATAATAATGATAATAATAATAATAATAGCAACAAGAATAATAATGATAACAAAATAATAATAGCAAAGACAAACTAATATACACTAATAACTATTACAATACTTACTAATAATAACAACAATAACAATAAATAAACAATAACAGACCAAAAACAAACAAACAATAAAAAAAAACACTCCCCCCGCCCCACAAAAAAAAAAAAAAAAACTTACCCCCCAAACCCACGCACCGAAAACACACACACACACACACACACAAAACTAACCCCCCCACCACCCCCGTTCACCCACACTCAAAACGCGAGTCAGCGTCTTGGAGGACGGCGTCCGCGACACCGGCAGCGACGCCCGCTGCTTCCCGCCCCTCCGGAACCCCGTGGAGGACGTCTCTGCCTCGGACATGATGCCAGGGTCATCGTCGAACACCGCTGACGGAGGAGAGTAGCCGTAGCCCTTTCCCTGCGGGGGGAGGAGGAGGAGACGGGGGGGTGAGTCCAGGGCGGGGAGGAAAGATGGTAATTGGAATAGCATTGGTGATGATGATGTGATGATAATAGGGTTGATAGATAATGATAAGATAGTAATAATAATCGTGATAGCATTGATGATGATGATGAAATAGTAATAGTATTGATGATAATGATAAAATAGTAATAATAATAGTAATAGCATTGGTGATGATGATGAAATTGTAATAGCGTTGATAGATAATGATAAGATAGTAATAATAATAGTAATAGCATTGGTAATAATGATGAAATAGGAATAGCATTGGTGATAATGATATGATGGTAATAACGTTGGTAATTGATGGTAATGATAGTAATAATGATAGTGATAGCGTTGATAATTAATGATAATAGTAATAACACCGCTGACGGAGGAGAGTAGCCGCAGCCCTTTCCCTGCGGGGGGAGGAGGAGGAGACGGGGGGGTGAGTCCAGGGCGGGGGGAGTAATGGGAGGAAAGATGGTAATTGGAATAGCATTGATGATAATGATGAAATAGTAATAGTATTGGTAGATAATGATAAAATAGTAATAATAATAGTAATAGCATTGATGATGATGATGTGATGGTAATAGCGTTGGTGATTGATGGTAATAATAGTAATAATAATAGTAATAGCATTGATGAAAATGATGAAATTGGAATAGCATTGATGATGATGATATGATAGTAATAGCGTTGATAACTAATCATAATAATAGTAATAGCATTGGAAATAGTAATCATGATAGTAATAGTATTGATAGATAATGATGAAATAGTAATAATAATAGTAATAGCATTGATAATAATGACAAAAATAATAATAGCGTTGATGATAATGATAAAATAGTAATAGCAATGATAATTAATGATAAAATAGTGATAATAATAGTAATAGCGTTGATGATAATGATGAAATATAAATAGCGTTGATGATAATGGTAATAATAGTAATAATAATAGGAACAGCATTGATAATAGTAATAATAGTAAAAACATTGATGATAATGATAAAATAGTAATACCGTTGATGATATAATACTAATACCATTGATAAGTGATAATAAAATAGTGATAATAATAGTAATAGCATTGACAGTAATGATAAAATAGTGATAATAATAGTAATAGCATTGATAGTAATTATAAAATAGTAATAGCACTGATAATAGTAATAATAATAGTAATAACATTGATGATAATGGTAGAATAGTAATTTTAACGATGTCATAACGTAAACAATAATAACAACAATGATGATGATGAGAATGATAATAATTAGACTGATGCTACTACTACTATTACTACTAATGATAATAATAACAATAATAATGATTATAATACTAATGATAACGATGATAATCATAGTGATAATAACAGAAATGGTCAGAATAATAGTAATAACAACAATATTGATAATGTCATTTGTGATAATATTACTACCAATCTGATAGTAATGATAATAATGATAAAATGATTATGATAACATTGGTAATAATAATAATAATAATAACATTGATAATGATAATAATAATAACAATAATAATGGCAATAATAATAGTAATAATAATAATGATAATAATGGTAATAATAATAATGGTAATAATAAAAGTAATCATTATCAGGACAATAGTAATGATAATAATGATAATAATCGGTATTACAATAATGGGAAACTTACCCGTACCAAATCTGGGACATTTTGAATCAGATTTTATTTCCTTTCAGACAATAACAATTCAATTTCATTTTCCTTATATTTTTTGTGTTTGCTTTCGCTAATGACTTAGAAACGTAAACAAAGACAATTAAAA